CTAAGTAAATGCAAATAACAAAAATGAAACTAAATACATTTAAAAAAACGAAAATGACACCTGATCAAAACAAAGAAATATAATCTCACCTCTTTGTCTTTGAGTAACTTCAAGATGGTTTTCAATATGTCTTTAAACGTAGTAGCCCTGATTATTGTGGTTTAGGCGTCCCTAGGAGTGCTTGAGGAGGTTAAAAGGCTCCTTCATGAGGTTATAGTCGTCATGATAAATGTTTCAGGGGCTTATTGAGAATATTTGTGTCTCTGTTTCTGAGTTTTAGACGTAAATGAGTCTTTGATTTGATTAGAAAATGCATTTGTTTTGGTCTGAGGTGATTCTTGTCATTTAGTGTCTCTGTGTGGTGATGGTTACGTTTCTCTTTGTGGTCATATTGCAAACCTTTGTAGTATTTTTGTAGCTGTTTTGTGACTCGGCAGCTATTCAGCAGATCTTAATATCATTTCCGCACCTTTTTATAGTCATTGTAGTTGATTTTCTTCTCTATAGTTGTTTTGAATCTTCTTCTTTATCTCTTTGTTGTCATTTTAGGCTCTTACTGATTTTTTCATGTGTCTTTTCAACCCAGTCTCACGGCATTTCGTGTTCACCAACACGATTTCCCCCTTTTTCGTGTTGCACAGCACGATTTTAAAAGCAATGTATTTCTATTGGTAGTATGTTTCAACCCAGTCTCACGGAATTACGTGTTATAGGGAGACCGGAAGCTGTGTGGTTCATAAAAACATGTTCTTACTCAATATCAAGCCACGATTATTGCTTTTATTTCAAATCGTATCATTTCGGACTTTTGTTGCCGTCTGTGAGGAAAATAAATGAGGCTCAGAGCATCGAAACTGGATCGAACCAGCCCCCCCCCCCCCCCCCCCCCCCCTATTGGGAACGTTTTCGTTTTTCCAACAATTAAAAGTTGCCAGTATTAAACACCAATTATTAACCAATTAAAATGGACCGATTAAACATCTCTCTGAGCCTCATTTCTTTTCCTCACAGACGGCAGCAAAACGATTTAAAATAAAAGCAATAATCGTGGCTTGATATTGAGTAAGAACATGTTTTTAAGAACCACACAGCTTCCGGTCTTCCTATAACACGTAATGCCGTGAGACTGGGTTGGTCTTTTCGTAGCACTTATTTGATCTCGGCTCTGCTGACGTACCAAACACAGCAAATGTTTGAAGACGATGACATTTCACACCTGAGCCTCTGAGCAGGAGGTGTGCGATTCTAATGAATGTTTGATGTAACATCAAGATGACTAGCTTTTCCCTTCTCCTCTAAACACTCCCTGTTGCTCGGTACATTAGTATTATTACAACATTAGTTAGTGTGCTTACACAGTTTATGTTATTATGGCATTAGAAGTCTCTCAGTGTGAGCACATTTTAACTGACTGTTGCTTTAAGTGCAGGACAGTGTTTAAAGAGCCGATCTAACAATAACGTCTGCGTTCAGAGAAAGGAATGTTTCTGAAAGCCGTCCTGTTTTCAATCTCCACCTGAGCTCTGAGGCAGACAGCAGCTGCGGCCTGCAGTCAAAGAAGAGGATGAATCTGGTGCTTTCTTGTATTAAATATGTTGTTTTTTTATTTAAAAGAGCCCAAGATTGCTTTAAGGGTCCCTTTCCTGTAGTGTGCTATATAGTTACATCACTATGTTACAGTCGCGCTGCTATTGGCTAGCACTCCAACACATTGTATGTGAGAGGCTAAGGGGCGGGACATCTCTAAGCAGTTGACCAATCACAACAGAGCCGGCCAGCTAACCAATCAGAGCAGACTGGGCTCTGGTTTCAGACAGAGGGTGAAAAGAGGTGCTGCAGCATGAGAACAATAAAGAGCTTTTTGAACATTAAAGCATGGAGACATGTAGAGACACTACATACTGATATACACCTGAACATCAGCAGGAGAGGACTCTTTAAAGTAGAGACACTACATACTGATATACACCTGAACATCAGCAGGAGAGGACTCTTTAAAGTAGAGACACTACATACTGATATACACCTGAACATCAGCAGGAGAGGACTCTTTAAAGTAGAGACACTACATACTGATATACACCTGAACATCATCAGGAGAGGACTCTTTAAAGTAGAGACACTACATACTGATATACACCTGAACATCAGCAGGAGAGGACTCTTTAAAGTAGATACACTATACTGATATACACCTGAACATCAGCAGGAGAGGACTCTTTAAAGCAGAGACACTACATACTGATATGCACCTGAACATCAGCAGGAGAGGACTCTTTAAAGTAGAGACACTACATACTGATATACACCTGAACATCAGCAGGAGAGGACTCTTTAAAGTAGAGACACTACATACTGATATACACCTGAACATCAGCAGGAGAGGACTCTTTAAAGTAGAGACACTACATACTGATATACACCTGAACATCAGCAGGAGAGGACTCTTTAAAGTAGAGACACTACATACTGATATACACCTGAACATCAGCAGGAGAGGACTCTTTAAAGCAGAGACACTACATACTGATATGCACCTGAACATCAGCAGGAGAGGACTCTTTAAAGCAGAGACACTACATACTGATATACACCTGAACATGAGCAGGAGAGGACTCTTTAAAGTAGAGACACTACATACTGATATACACCTGAACATCAGCAGGAGAGGACTCTTTAAAGTAGAGACACTACATACTGATATACACCTGAACATCAGCAGGAGAGGACTCTTTAAAGTAGAGACACTACATACTGATATACACCTGAACATCAGCAGGAGAGGACTCTTTAAAGTAGAGACACTACATACTGATATACACCTGAATATCAGCAGGAGAGGACTCTTTAAAGTAGAGACACTATATACTGATATACACCTGAACATCAGCAGGAGAGGACTCTTTAAAGTAGAGACACTACATACTGATATACACCTGAACATCAGCAGGAGAGGACTCTTTAAAGTAGAGACACTACATACTGATATACACCTGAACATCAGCAGGAGAGGACTCTTTAAAGTAGAGACACTACATACTGATATACACCTGAACATCAGCAGGAGAGGACTCTTTAAAGTAGAGACACTACATACTGATATAAACCTGAACATCAACAGGAGAGGACTCTTTAAAGTAGAGACACTATATACTGATATACACCTGAACATCAGCAGGAGAGGACTCTTTAAAGTAGAGACACTACATACTGATATACACCTGAACATCAGCAGGAGAGGACTCTTTAAAGTAGAGACACTACATACTGATATACACCTGAATATCAGCAGGAGAGGACTCTTTAAAGTAGAGACACTATATACTGATATGCACCTGAACATCAGCAGGAGAGGACTCTTTAAAGTAGAGACACTACATACTGATATACACCTGAACATCAGCAGGAGAGGACTCTTTAAAGTAGAGACACTACATACTGATATACACCTGAACATCAGCAGGAGAGAACTCTTTAAAGTAGAGACACTACATACTGATATACACCTGAATATCAGCAGGAGAGGACTCTTTAAAGTAGAGACACTACATACTGATATACACCTGAACATCAGCAGGAGAGGACTCTTTAAAGTAGAGACACTACATACTGATATACACCTGAACATCAGCAGGAGAGGACTCTTTAAAGTAGAGACACTAAATACTGATATACACCTGAACATCAGCAGGAGAGGACTCTTTAAGGACCTGACACAGTTTGCACCAAAGTGTCCTTAATCTTAATTGCAGTACTACTTCGGAAAAAATAAGGAAACATAGGAAGGAAGCTAAAACAGGAGGCAAGAAAGAATACAATAAAGAAAGGAAGTAATAAGTAAAAAATGTCAATGTCAAGTAAATTACAGCAGCTTAAACATATAAATCTAGTTTCCACATGGGCCTCAACATCTCTCCTACCTATAGGAGCAAGACAAACAGACTCTATAGTTGTTTAGCCTCATTGCGTTGTTGTTTTGTGAGTCCTGTAGTCGTTTATGTGTCTTTGTGGTCATTTTGTGTCTCTGCAGTTTTTTTATAATAATTCTGGGCCTATTTGTGGTAATTGTTATATCTTTGTTTTCACTTTCAGTCATTTTGTGTCTCTTTGTAGACGTTTTGAGTCTTGTCCTGGTTGGTATGTGTCTATTAAAGCAACATTATACAGATGAAGGTCAAAGGCAGGCCTTGACACTTTTGCTCCTTATAATCCATCAATGAAGCACTGTAATATTTCAAAAACACATTACGTATATTTGCTTTTAAAAACATGTCCTGAATGCAGCATGATACACAGTGTACGTGTGACTGTTGGCGAGCTCCTGTGTGTTTTCCTCTGGTGTGTGTGTGTGTGTGTGTGTGTGTGTGTGTGTGTGTGTGTGTGTGTGTGTGTGTGTGTGTGTGTGTGTGTGTGTGTGTGTGTGTGTGTGCCTAGCATTACTATAGTTGTGGGGACCTAAATATGTTTACACAGTCACGTGTGGGGACTCGCCTCCCTTATGGGGACAAAATGGAGGTCCCCATGAGGGAGTCATTAATTTTAGGGTGAAGACTTGGTTAGGGTTAGGCATGTGTTGGTTATGGTTAAGGTTAGGATAAGTCTCCAGGAAATGCATGTAAGTCAATGTAATGTCCCCTGAAGTGATGTATACATGGTATATGTGTGTGTGTGTGTGTATGTGTGTGTGTGTGTGTGTGTGTGTGATACTATTTGATAAGTGATTGTCTGTTCTCCATTACTTATTATCACTGTGTGCTGCTCTTTAGTGAGGAAAGTTTCCCACAGGAACTTAAATGCTGGTGTGTGTGTGTGTGTGTGTGTGTGTGTGTGTGTGTGTGTGTGTGTGTGTGTGTGTGTGTGTGGTGTGTGTGTGGTGTGTGTGTGTGTGTGTGTGTGTGTGTGTGTGTGTGTGTGTGTGTGTGTGTGTGTGTGTGTGTGTGTGTGTGTGTGTGTGTGTGTGTGTGTGTGTGTGTGTGTGTGTGTGTGTGTGTGCGCTGCAGGTGGTCCTGAACTGGAACATCAGCGATCTGCAGGAGAAGGTGGAGCTGCTGCGTCAGACGGAGACCAACCTCACGGCTCAGACCGTTCTGCAGGAAGGTAAAGGAACACTCACTCTGTAGGAAAATCTCCATCACTGCCATGAAAGGAGACTTTTCTCATCGAGTCTCCGAGCGTTCGGGGTATTCTTAGCTGCATTTTCCCTCCCCTGTTACCATGAGAACCGGTGAGTCAGAGTAAATAAACACACGATTGGTCGGGTTGAAAAGAAACCCACAAAGAACTACAAAAACAACTGGAATGTGAAACGATCTCTGGAAAGAGTTTCCTTTTAATTATCAGTCAGAAACCACAGGTTTAAGTATTTGCAAGAAAACATGAATCCACAAGGATGGGAATTGTTATTTTCTTTTACAGAAATCAGCAGGGAGAATTAAAAGGAATGAATGAAAAGTAGGAAGGGAAATAAGGAAAGGAAAAGCAATCTAAAATGTTGTTTTAGTCAAACACGCAGACTAAAGTACAAAAGTAACGTTTTTTTACTAATTCTTCCACAGAGAGCATCGGTTGTCAGGGAGGCGTGTGTAAGGAATTAAACAAACTATAAAAACAGTCATCAATGGGAATCAATGGGAACTTCCATCCCTAACATTGTTAAAAACGGAAATGGCCGATGCAGTTTTTCATGAATATCAATAAAAAACTATTTGATATGATGTTTTTCACCAGACGGGACGCCATGGAGCGTGTGCACCATTTTGTGAGTTTCTGAGCGTCCACAGTACTCTGAAAATGCAGAATAATAATAATCTGATTATTTCAGATTATATTGAAAGACATTTTTACAAATCTGGGTCGTAAGAGGAGTAAACACCGTCTGAACTTTAATGTCCCAGCACCAACATGGCGGTTGAATCAACTCATTTCCATCCACTCTTCCACAACGAGGAAATAAAATATTAAAAGTGGTTAAAATCACTAAAAGTCTGGCCATGTTGAGACTCATCATCAGCATCTTTGATTTATTCACAAGTTATAAGAAATACAGGTAGAATCGAACATTTAATTAAGACTTATACAGTTATAGATCAAGGGCCCAGACACTTAACATACATCATTTTAATTATATTAATACATACATGTATATACAGGGGTTTTAAATATAGTATTAGGGCAATACTGTGGCGCTGATCTTGTTTGTAAGATATATAAATTCTCCTGAGAACATGTATACAAGATGGCGCCGCGGTATAAACAACAACAAAACATCAGAGGCCTGCACTACGAAGCCGGATGTTCTCTTATCGGCTAACTTCAGGGAGAACTCTGGGTTTCCGGTCCTACGACGCTGGTTCTCTTTTTAGCGGGCTAGATCTCCATGGTAACTTATGCTGAGCGGCTAACCTGGTCGGGACCAGGTTAGGTTGCAGGCTAAGAGATCAACTTAGTGAAAGCACCGCCTGCTGACCAATCAGAGCTCAGTGTGTGGAGTTTAAAGCGATCAAGTCATATTACAGGAGAAAGAAAATACAGAAAAACTGCCATTGCAGGAAAGACGGCCGGCAAAAATCACCGACTGTGTGAACGTGAACATTAATAGAATATCACCTCCATCTTCAGAGCAATCTGACTGTTATAACATTAGCGTTAAGAAAGCTTACTTAAATATCTGCCACAACATAAGTAACTGGATCAGAGTAACATTAAGTACAATCCGCGGCATATCACTTCATAATGTATCATATATCTCCTGATCTGAGTCAGCTGAGCCGTATCTGGCCGTGCAACACTCACAGTGTCACAGACTGTATGCAGAAGTATTATTTTAAGCAACACATTAAGTTGAGGAAACACTCGAGACAAATGTAATTAAAGTCAGATCGTGTTTTAGACGGGCAGTGATATCATAAACCTGTTAATGTACGCATTCAAACACTTGTTCTGTTACCAGCTGTATTCACCTTGCAGGTGCAGCTCTGTGGCTTTGATCCTGGATAAAGTGTTTAAGTCATGGATGTTTAAAGTTTAACTTCTTCATATTTGTCTAATATTAAAGTTCACTTTTCATTCAGGAAGTATGACGCTGCGCTGTCAGTATGCTTGTCCATGTTTGTGATTGGTCAAATGTTGCTAACCCCGCCCCTTTCATGTGAACGCGCACCTAACTAGATAGGGCAAAGCTGGCTTGAGTTAACGAGTTGATAACCAGCGTCGTAGGACCGCTTAGCGAGAGCGCGTTTGTTTTGGATTGGGTAAACCGGGTAACTCAAACACATCCAGGTTATGTTGAACCGGCTTCGTCGTACAGGCCTCTGAGCTCCTTAAAAACGAAACTGTCTCTGCCGCCTAACGCTCTATTCGACACATATTTCTGGAGTAATTATACACTTTGACATTTTAGGTGGAAAATCTGCATTTTGGTGTGAGGGCGCACGCAGGGAGTGAGCGGGAGACAAATCCCTGATATATACAGTATATTAAGAGAGTTCATATATTATACGGTGCAAGTCTGTTTTCTTACAAGAAGTTTAGAAACTGAGTATTATAGTGAGACTTTTTAACATATTTGAAACAGAAATTCAGTATCAAGTGTAATTTTCTGCCTTTTTTCAAAATATTTTTGTAAAATAAATGAAGCCGTAATTTCAAACAAAGCTGTTGGGAAGTTTCTCTCCGCACCGTGCCATGAGGAATACAGAGTTTAAAACAATACCTTCCTTGAGTAACCCTCCCCAGCCGCTCCATGGGAAGTGCAGAGAGGCTTTATTAAAGGTGACTTCCTGCTGTGAACAGTGGGAGGGAAATGATGGATTCCTGTGTGGCTCAGATAGGAGAGAGCATTGTGTTTCTGATAAACATCTCAGAGCGACCCGCCTGGAACAAGTGAGTCAGGACCAGGAGTCACATCGGGACCTCATCAGAACCAAATCATCACGTTCATTAAGTGACGGAAGAAGTGCTCTTTTTAAATAAAGGGGAAATACTACAGTGGAATGGGAAGTATAACATGTCATGCTCGTCTCCCTACCTCCCTCTATCTCCTTCTTCATCTCCTTCCTTCCTTGTCTCCTTATCTCCCTACCTCGCTCCATCTCCTCCTCTCATTCTTCCTCTCCTCTCCATCTTTCCATACCTCCCTCCATCTCCTTCTCTCCTTCCTCCTCTCCTTCTCTCATCTCCTTATTTCCCTACCTCCCTCTATCTCCTCCTCTCCTCTCTTTCCTTCTTTCCTACCTCCCTCCATCTCCTTCTCTCCTCTCCTTCCTTCCTCATCTCCTCTCCTTCCTCCTCTCCTCCTCTCATCTCCTCTCCTTTTCCTTCTTTCCTACCTCCTTTCATCTCCTCCTCTCCTTCTCTCATCTCCTTATCTCCCTCTATCTCCTCCTCTCCTCTCTTTCCTTCTTTCCATACCTCCCTCCATCTCCTTCTCTCCTTCCTCCTCTCCTTCTCTCATCTCCTTATTTCCCTACCTCCCTCTATCTCCTCCCTCTCCTCTCTTCCTTCTTTCCATACCTCCTCCATCTCCTTCTCCTCCTCTCCTTCCTTCCTCATCTCCTCTCCTTCCTCCTCTCCTCCTCTCATCTCTCTCTCCTTTTCCTTCTTTCCTACCTCCTTCCATCTCCTCCTCTCCTTCTCTCATCTCCTTATCTCCCTCTATCTCCTCCTCTCCTCTCTTTCCTTCTTTCCTACCTCCCTCCATCTCCTTCTCTCCTCTCCTTCCTTCCTCATCTCCTCTCCTTCCTCCTCTCCTCCTCTCATCTCCTTATCTCCTCTCCCTTCTTTCCTACCTCCCTCCATCTCCTCCTCTTCTCTCCTTCCTCATATCCTCTCCTTATCTCCCTACCTCCCCCTATCTCCTCCTCTCCTCTCCTTCCTTCCTCATATCCTCTCCTTCTCTCATCTCCCTACCTCCCTCCATCTCCTCCTCTCCTCTCTTTCTTTCGTTCTTTCCTCCATCTCCTTCTTTCCTCCCTCCCTCTATCTCCTCCTCTCCTTCTTTCCTCCCTCCCTCCCTCTATATCCTCCTCTCCTCTCCTTCTTTCCTACCTCCTTCCTCTTCCTCCTCTCTTATTATGTATATTGAAATCTTATTTAAGCAAACAATCGGAAGTCATTGAAATACCTGATTGCGGTACAAAGACCTCTAATTGTTATTTAGCCTCCGAACTTACTCAAACAGTTCTTGTTAAACCTTTGTTTCGTTTGTTAAGATAAGTGTCCGTTTGTTAAGATAAGAGTCCGTTTGTTAAGATAAGTGTCCGTTTGTTAAGATAAGTGTCCGTTTGTTAAGATAAGTGTCCGTTTGTTAAGATAAGTGTCCGTTTGTTAAGATAAGTGTCCGTTTGTTTAGAGCAGACGAAGAGTATTTCAAGCCGAAATGAAGTGATTTCTGGAAGTGAGCTCACTGATGCAAAACCTTCCCACAAACGAGCTAGAGAACAGAAAACATGAGAGCTGGCAGCTTGAATCATTCCTCAGATAACACACACTGTCGTCATTCTGCAATAACACACACACGCCGTTTCCTTATAAGTTAAGAAGCTCAGAAAACACTTGATTCTACGTCATCAAGTGATGTCATGTAACTACGTACTTTTAAAGTACTTTATTTGATCTAAAAGTGGGCCCACATTGACAAACTACTACCTGATAAATACACAATATCATGTATTAAAGAAAGCCATTCTGCACAATAAAATAAACATTTACTTTTGATACCTCAAGTCCATTTAGCTCATAAAACCTTCTTTGCTTGAATTCAGGTTATTTTTAGACTCCAGTTTTACCACTTCTTCTTCTTCTTCTTAATTAAAGGATCTGAGTACTTCCACCATTATAAGGTGGCCTTATCCCCCCCTTGGTTACTGTTGCTATGTTGGACAACAGTATCACTGCATCAGACGCTAAAAATAGAAACGATAATTAAATCAAAAGTTGCCCAGAGCGTAAACATTTGGTTTTCAAGTGGATAAGTGTTTCTGTTCGGTGGTGATTTCATAATGATCGAGGCTTTAGTAGCTTTTCTAATGTCTTTGTTGTTTTTAAAGTGTGTGTATTATTATTATTATTGTCCTGCCTTGCTCATGTGTGCCATGCTTAATTATATTCATGGCACATATTAAAGAGGCCTATTACGCTTTTTTGGGGGGTTTTCAAAATACAGATTACAAAATCCTTTTAATAAACATCTATATGTAATACTACATCATCTTGTAAGGAAACAACCTGAAAAGGAATTTTTTCATTTACATTTTTCATGGATGTATGTTTCCCCAACTGACCACACGGGGGCGCCAACATTAAGCCCATTTTATTATTTTAAATGCTGAAGCCAGAACTTTAGTTGTAGAGTCTAATATAACAGAAAACAGGTATTTATTCTGTAATGTTCGTTGGATCATGGTTTCATTCGGGACGTGTGTGTGTGTGTGTGTGTGTGTGTGTGTGTGTGTGTGTGTGTGTGTGTGTGTGTGTGTGTGTGTGTGTGTGTGTGTGTGTGTGTGTGTGTGTGTGTGTGTGTGTGTGTGTGTGTGTGTGTGTGTGTGTGTGTGTGTGTGTGTGTGTGTGTGTGGCCTAGCATTACTATAGTTGTGGGGACCTAAATCTGTTTACACAGTCACGTGTGGGGACTCGCCTCCCTTATGGGGACATAATGGAGGTCCCATGAGGGAAATAATTAATTTTAGGGTGAAGACTTGGTTAGGGTAAGGTTAAGGGTTAGGCATGTGTTGGTTATGGTTAAGGTTAGGATAAGTCTCCAGGAAATGCATGTAAGTCAATGTAATGTCCCCTGAAGTGATGTATACATGGTATAGGTGGGTGTGTGTGTGTGTGTGTGAGCTCCTTTTTTCTGTAATGACACATTACTATGGCACATGCTCGAGCTACTGTATGTAGAATATTGGTGGGTTACAGTTCAGCTAAATGTTTCTGTGTCTGTGTTCAGATCACATCGAGGCGCTGCAGCAGAACGTGACGGAGGCGGGTCATCAGACGGAGTCGTGCTCCAGCCTGCAGGCGGCAGCAGAGAGTCAGATGCTGGCGGCTCAGAGTCAGACCCGGGCCTGTGAGTCCAGACAGCAGTACCAGCAAAAACAGCTGTGAGTACAATACTTACCTGCTACTGTTGAGTTAACTGATTATTTAACATTTTTGTATTTTAAAAACATGTTTCTTTACTCCTTCCCCCTTCTTCATAAGTCTCTCTAATCCATTTCATTGTATCTTGTGTTTTGTTCAAATGTTTTTGGAATTCTTGCATTCTTTTATACAATCTTTTTATATTGTAAAGTGTCTTTAAGTACTTCGAAAAAATGTTATATTAATCAAATGTATTTGTAATGGCAATTTTCTTTTCCTATGTCCTATATATTTTTGCCGTTACATTCACAGAAGGGTTGAAAAGTGATCCAGACGCAGACACAAACAGATGATTTTCCGGTCCTTAGTTGTGGTTTATGATGATGTTTATTCGTCTTTACAAACCAGGGTTAATTTAGCGTTCTAGTGATTCTATGAGCATCTGCCGGGCTGGTGGAATCGGTATGCTCTTCTCCTACTGTGTCCACACATCTCCTGTCACCTATGACCTCCTTATATACACCCGGTGCAGCTAAACCCCGCCACCCAGTGTTCATAAATAATATTGCACTATACATATAACTTAAATAAACTGACACACCAACATCACCCACAAAATGGCTCCTACAGTATTAATATTATTATTATTGTTGTTCAATGCACGACTGGGGAAGACGTAGTAAGCAAAGATGATTCGAAAAAATAAATCTAACAGACAGTTAAACTACAGTTAAACCAAAACAAACAATTTTCAAATTTGTATTTATTTGTGTCTCCCCTGTACCGGAGTTTTTCTATGCCGTACATGAGTGCAGTCAATGAAAGTAATAGAACGTTTGCTTGGTTTTAATGGCTGATTATTTGTTGTCTGTTCTGATAAATATGAATATAATAGAAAGTATTTCAAAATGTTATTTAAGAACAGCACTTAAAGGTTAAATATCTCATCTGTGGAAGTCGTGGCTCTGTAAAAAGCACGACCAATCATCTGAGCCGGCTAAAGTAACTGGATGGCCTACCTGCCTGTCAGCCTTCCATCTGTGCACAAACTGATCTCGTGCCCTCATTGGTCATGTGTGCGTTCGTGTGTGTTGGAGGAGGGGCTCTGTAAGGAAGTCTGAAGGAAGAGGCAGATTTGTTCCGGTTGTGTATTTTCAAACTCTAGCGCACTCGAGCTGCTTTCTCCATTCTTACCTACGCATTTCCTGATGTTTCTGTGTTTTAGTCAGAAGTGTAAAGAGGTGGAGTCAGAGGCTCCTCAGCAGGAGCTGGCGGGCGGAGGATCCTCTGCCCCCCCGACTCTCTCTGGGATTCCTGCTCTGATGCTTCTGCTCTGCAGCGCTCTGCATCTGATAACCTGTGAGTCTCATAAGCACTCTCACACACGACTGCTGCACCCAAACGCATCGTCCACTCTGCAAAATATCTACTATTAAGTGTGACTGTAACTGAGACGTAGTTTGGTTTAATATGTTTAGTTTATTCTGTCGTTTTCAACTTTAATTTACAAGTTTTCAAACTTTATACAGAAATGTTGTCAACCAAATCTCCAAACTTGTTATCAAATAATAATATGTCAGTATATTGATCCCTGCTTGATTCCCAAATCTAGATTGTTGCTTGTATATTATTCAAATCTTCACCTTTTTTCCCCCTAAGGTGCTATAACGTGACATTTCTAACTGGGATCATTTCAATAATTACTTAATCTAATTATGTATTTTTTTATTTTATTTGTATTATTATTATTATTATAATATAATAACCTTTTTATTTTTATTGTTAATGATATTTTTGCTAGTTTAACACACATACATACAAATCACATGAAATACATGTAGTGTTTGTGCAAGGGCAGCTGCAATGGAATAAATCTACGCTTTAGACCAGGGGGGTCAAACTCAATATCATCGCGGGCCACATTAGAATTATGGTTGCTCTCAAAGGGCCGGTGGTAACTTTAAGACTATATAAATATACATAGATAAAAATATAATATATATAAAATAATGTATTATTTTACATTATTTCCTCTGCATTGGATTATTATCGGATAGGGTAATAACTTCACAATTAACTGTCTGAAAGCAGAAGTCTAGGGCAAATAATTGCAAGTCTCTTCGGTGCATCTCACAAAATGAGATGCATTGTGGGACATGTAGTTTATGGGCAACGTGCTCCTGTAAAGCGGCACGTAACCTTATAATACAAGTGGCCTACAAGCTCTTGAAGGCCACATAAAATGAAGTGGCGGGCCGGATTTGGCCCCCGGGCCTTGAGTTTAACACCCCTGCTCTAGACTTTTAAAATATGTATATTTATAATAAAACACACCCGAAACAAAAATGAAAGGTGAAATATCTACATACAAATTTAGAGAATATTCAACCTTGTCTCGTAAATGTACTCTCCTCTAATCTTAGCGCTTTCTCTTGAGGGTTTTTATATATTTTGTATTTAAATTTGACCTACAAGAGCCCTAAAGTTGTCATAAATGTTGATAATCGTAGGGCTTCCTCCCTTATTGACAGAACACAAGTGTTGTTACTATTATATATTAAAGTATTTGTTGTTGTGTGATCAGGAGCTCAGCGCGGCGGCGTCCTGTCAATCGACGCGAGCACTGAGGACCGCAATGACTGCTGTACACACACTTCCTGTCTGCGTGACACACTTCCTGTCTTCGGGACACAACAGACACATCGCCATGGAGACGCTGACGTGACGAACGATTGGACAGAAAACTTTGCTTTGACTTGAACTGATGAGACGTTCACTGACGCCGCCGCTTCACCACTGTTTGATTTTTTAGAGTTTATTTTCTTCATGAAGCTTAGCTGCTGCTTTTTTAACTTCCTGCTGATGCTTTGTCACACTTTAGCCTGTTTTAATATTAATTATTCAAGTTTAATCCTCTGTCTTTACTTCTTACTGTTATTTCTCCTGAAAATCCACATGCTGAGAATAGAGATGTCTGCACAGTAAATGTCCTGAAAACGCCAGAGGTAGAAGAAGTATTAAAACCTCAAGTTAAAGTCCTGCATTCAAAATGTAACTTTGGTTAAAATACAAAAGTATTAGCATTCAAATATAACTACACTTAACTTGAATACTTGAGTCCCATATCTGATAAAGCACTTTTCACCAGTGATAAGCCTACGTGCTGCATTCAAGAACTCTATACTGTATATTTTACAGTGAATCATTCATTTGCAGAATTTCTCTGCTTCTTCTTAAACAGAGAGGAAGTGAACCTTTTCAAAATGAGAGCAGACATGATGATTCTCCTCTCTGCTGGTTTATTTAACCCTCCTGTTGTCTTCGGGTCAAATCTGACCGATTTACTACTTTACATATAAAATAGCTGATTACCACTTCCATTGAATTTTGGATGATTTAGTCAACTTTGTAACACCCATGGTGTTCCAGGTCCCACACACACACACACACACACACACACACACACACACACACACACACACACACACACCAGAGGAAAACACACAGGAGCTCGCCAACAGTCACACGTACACTGTGTATCATGCTGCATTCAGGACATGTTTTTAAAAGCAAATATACGTAATGTGTTTTTGAAATATTACAGTGCTTCATTGATGGATTATAAGGAGCAAAAGTGTCAAGGCCTGCCTTTGACCTTCATCTGTATAATGTTGCTTTAATAGACACATACCAACCAGGACAAGACTCAAAACGTCTACAAAGAAACATGAATAGACTACAAAGAGACACAAAATGACTGCAAAAAAGACCGAAAGTGAAAACAAAGATATAACAATTACCACAAATAGGCCCAGAATTATTATTAAAAAAACTGCAGAGACACAAAATGACCACAAAGACACATAAACGACTACAGGACTCACAAAACAACAACACAATTAGGCTAACCAACTAACAGAACAATTTGACACATTTCCCGCTCTTATGTGCCCCTCCCCCACATGGATCACACCTGTCACACGCAATACATGTTCAGTGTCTATTCTTTGTATATTTACTGCAGTTCTTCATGTATACCAGTAGTCTGATACAATATGTACAGTTTGAAAGGGTGTTAAATGAAATGTGGTGATGATTAATGGTTTTTGTGTTAATGTCATAGCAGTTAAAACAGGACCGGTCAGATTTGACCGCGAACACCAAAGTAAGGGGGGAAACGAGGACAATAGGAGGGTTACAACAAATCCAATCTACTAAAGACAGGTGAACGAGTTCCTGTTAATACCTGAAATCTGGTCTCTTCCTGGACCAGGTATTGTTAAATATTGAGGATGAAGAGGAGTAAGAACCATATACTGTATATAAGAAGAAGGAGAGGAGGTTTTTATCTCTATATTTTGTCAAAGAGGCAGAAAAACGTGTCAGGATTGTTTGTGTTTGTTTCTTTCTGAACGCAGCTTGACGAAGCAACGACTCGACTTTTAGAAGCTTTTATCTAATTTGGGGACGGGTGGGGGGGGGGGGGGGGGGGGGGGGGGGGGGCTGAGGACGGGTTGAATGTCTTATGAGGATTAATAAACCTGAAAAGTTTCTAACATGTTGTCTTTGTCTTGATTTACGTTGAGGTATTCATCAAGTGAGAAAGACTTGGATAAGAAACTCTTTTATTGTATGATTAGCAAGTCAAGCCTTGTTATTTACTTCTGATAAAAAAATTGAATTTTCTTTATTTAAATTGTATGTTTAAATTGTATGTTTGAAATGGGATTAGGACTCAAAGGGGAAATCATATTTTTTATTTTATGGACAGACTTTTATCATCTAAAAAAACTGAGGCTTTAAATACTTGCAAATATTTGTTTTTGTGATTGTTTTAATATTTTTGGGAGGTCAGTAACTACTCTAACTCTAATATCCTGTATTTTATTTATACACTAGCAGATTTGACCAACAGATGGCGCTATTTCACTGTGAAATGCTTCAAAACGGCATGTTGCTTCAGGGGCAAATTACTGCTAATGAGGTAGTATAATAATCAAGAGACACTTGAAGTACCACATTTAAAAGCATGTCGAATTTGTTGTTGTTGTATTAACTCATTTAAAAATAATTGATGCAATGTCTCATATGTATTTTACTTGATACTGGGGGTAGTAAGGCAAGGCAAGTTTATTTATATAGCACCTTTCAGCACCAGGTAATTCAAGGTGCTAGTAAAATATGTAATAATATGTATATCATGTTTGTTAATCAATTAAACCTGTCAGGTTAATGTAGTGCAGTAAAAAGTAATAATTACCCCTGAGATTTAAGTCGCTTTCAAATACTCCAGTGAAGTACAAGCACCTACACATTGTATAAAAGTGCAGGTTAAATATAAGCCTACAGTATTAAGGTGTTAAAGTACACACTTAATTTATTATGTATTATTAAGATTGTTTATTGATCCTCCTGTGAGAGTCAGCAGGTGATGTTTTCCCACAGTTCAGTCTGCCAGAAGGGGGCGGGACCTGTCACTGTAACAAGCCAATGATGAGTGGGCGTGGAGCCAAGCATCTGAGCCAATCAGACAGTAACAGGTCCCAGAGGAGAGAGGGGGCGTGTTTCAATTAGTCTGTGTTTGTGAGAGAGAGAGAGAGAGAGAGTGTGTGTGTGTGTGTGTGTGTGTGTGTGTGTGTGTGTCCTAGCATTACTATACTTGTGGGGACATACATCTTTTTACACAGTCACGTGTGGAGACTCGGTTCCCTTATGGGGACAAAATTGAGGTCCCCATAAGGGGAATTATTAATTTTAGGGTGAAGACTTGGTTAGGTTTAGGGTAAGGGTTAGGCATGGCCGTATCCACCATTGAGGTCACCGAGGTCCGGACCTCTGTAATTTTTTCGAGCTGTGTATATAACAAAACTTATAATTGCACTAAACTGGGTTCTTTGTAGTACTTCCATTTACTGACCATGGGGGCGCTGCATAACTATGTAGCCTCAATTAAAGCAAACAGAAGAAGACGACATGTATCAACAAACCACCGCAGCCCGGACTTGAACCGGAGCAGCGGAGGAGTGATGAGGTATCTAGAGATCTGAGTCCAGCGGGCTGCTTGTGTTTCTGTTCATCAGGACATCATATGAGCAGCAGATCCTGTGAACGCTCTACTTTAGTCAGTGGACGTCCGACAACATGCACACTAACTGATATTGCAGCTATAGGTGTTAGGATCTGTCTGTGTTGTAGTTTTGTATGTCTGGTTATGGGTATTTTCATCCTTGTATATTGTCTGGTCCCTCTCTCTGTGTTTTTCCTCCCGTCGTTAGTTTCCCTGGTGTGTCTAGTTGTCTGATTGTTTTCACCTGTGGCCCTTGTGTTTCTCCTCCCCTGCCCGGCTGTGTCTCGTCTTGTGATTACTCCTTCCTGTATTTAGTCTTGTCTCTTCCTGTGTTCAGTGTCGGTTCGTCTTGTG